CATCGTTTCATCAGTTCTTGACGATAAGCAAAGCCTGTCGTGAGAAGCGTTTTGTACCTATGATGCTGCCAGGATATTCCTTAAGGTCGTTTAGTCACTCTTCTTTTTATTTCTGTACGCAGCGATCAAGCGTATTCTGATGGGAAATGAAAATCCATATATAGATGATCAGATAAGGAGGGTTCATTGATTACATCCACCTAGAGTAAGGTGATCTTTGGAAACCTCGCTAAAAATTATTTTAGTCTGCGCAGCCGGACTTTGAGGTGAAGCTGCTGTAGGCCCGGGCCTATCGGATCCACTCGAGATGTTTTCCAGACCTAGCACCAAGTTATTGCCATCTGGTGAAGAATTGGCCTCAAGAGAATTCTATCTAAATCATTTCTCCCAATCTTTTGCAATAGGGTTTCTATTAGAGACATAATGACATTACTCTCAAAATGGAAAAGGGTCTATAATTGGTGTTGAATTTTCTTAAAATAATATCGTATATGCATTTAGTAACTTGTTGAAATATGATGTGAGACCAAGAAACAGGGTGTATTTTTAAGCGATTGAAAGGCGATCAGATGGGTTTGCGAAAGCATCTTACCACTGCGGCGTGTTCACTAGCTTAGTTACTGGAGCTTCAGCTTTGTGTGGGGGAGGCATTACACAGTTGCAGGACTTTCTCCCTTTGTCTAAAGTTCAAACTGAAGATATTTTGTTGTACAATCAAAAAATATATGAAATAAAATAGCCAATATATATATATATAATATATACATATATAAAGGGTAAATATATATATATATATATATATATATATATACATTTAAAGAAAAACATAACCAAAAAATACTTCCAACTCGCAGTAATATATACTCTGAGAGTCAGAATCATTCTCCTCTAACAATCACCCCTCGAAATATATGTATAAATTTAAATATTAATATTTGCAGACATACATACCGATTCTAATATATAACCCTCCGTCCGACACCACACTTTATATACTTTCGCCCGACACCTGGTGTCTGGCCAGAACCCTATATCCCTATATAGGTTTATATGGGAAAAAGTACTATATGAAGAGGCTCATATGTATTTTTCAGGTATATATTATTCGTTCCTTACCTTTTTATATCTTCGGGCACATGTTTAGCTACAATTCTGTGTAAAAAAAAAACAACAAAAATATTTAGAATGGAAAAAACAAGCCATTTGTTTACCTTTTTTTATGCTTTATTTATGAGTCATTTCAATACTGTTTGGACAAATGTATACTGATTTGAATGGATTTTCTTATGAAACTTGATCTAACTAGCATCGGTATGTGGTACGCAAGCAAAACATGTATAATTGGTTTTCGAATGCTGTACACAAACTCGATTTGAGCCAATGCAAGGAATCGTCTATATGACATAGCAGCACGAAAGATGGGCAAAGCATCTGAACGCCATAAAAGTGCTGACTCTTGCATATTATTGTTTGTAACACCAGCAGCAAAAAGTATACCAATAAATGCATCAAGCTCAGTACTAGTCAAAGCAACCCAAACTCTTGGCTTTGAATCTGGATTTTCATCATTCCATTTTTGAGTAGCAATTTTTGCATTTCGATTTGTTTCGGTAATAATAATGAATTAAATATTCGGTATAAAAAAACTTTTGAATACCTCAATCGGAACCGATGTTGAAAGTTTTGGACAAGGTCTGAATCGGATAATACTATGCTGGCGCGTATGGCTTGGGGTCTACTCCTTTTTCCATTCTCTGCCGTCTTTACCAAAGAAACTTTCGGCCGTAGCTTGTAGCTTCACGTTGAATAACTGGAGCGGTTGCATGTTGTTCTTCGTCTTCAATTTCCTCATCACTGTCCAGTATTTCGTTCGGTTCAATAACCAATTCGTTTTCAACATTTCATGCGTCCCCATCCAGCACATAATCTAAATCCCTACTATCATCACCATCGTCGTAGTCGTTCAATGCAAGATTTTCTTCAACAGTTTCCGAATTTCGATTGTAATCATTCACTAAAACGTTGCCCAATCGAGAATAAAAATCGGTACAGAGACTTCTACTACGTAAACGAGTATTATAAATGAATTTAATCTATTCACTCATTATGAATAATACAACATTTAATACAAAATATTTGACGCGCAAAATGTATTGTACGGAGCAATATTCTGTTCTGTTCACTGTTCACGCATCAACTGACGCTCAAAATAGAATAGAGAGAAAAGAAACAACACAATAAAAGAAAAAAAAAAAACTAACGCATTCACATATACAGACATATACGTCATTTTTCTGGCCAGACACCAGATATCGGACCGCAGGTGTATTTTTTAAAATCCTTTTTTCGTGCTTTTTGAAAAGGACAGGTATATGTTTTTATTGCATAGATCGATAGCCAATAAAATTTAGGGAGGGTACCTAGGAGCACAATTTGTCTCCAAAAAAGAAAAAGGTCTGGCCAGACCCTGGTGTCGGACGGAGGGTTAAGAATTTACTCACTTTGGCATGTCCCACGAAGCGTAGAGGTCTCACTACTGCCGAGTGTTAATCCTTTTTCTTATTTTATTACACTTAATATTTCTTTTCTAGTGTTTGTATTTCTAGAGCTAAACCTCATGGTATATTATTATACATTATACATAGAATATATAAAAAATTAAAGACAATTTTGTTCCAAGAATTCAAAGTCTATTCTATGGGCGCATACTGTATTTTTCCTACATGCTCGCCTTCAATATGCTGAAAATTCGTTAGCATTGGAGAGTGCATATTAACATATATGATATATATATATATTATTTATATATTTATATGTATATAATATATAAGGCTTATATACTATTGTTGGCTCCATGTCGATTCACCACATTCACAACCTGATGCGGTTATGTACCTAAGCGACCGCACGCTTTATAATTATGAAAGAAGACGTAAGTAAATAAAATGAGTAAAATGAACCCAAAATTCTGATTCTGAATGAAATTTGATTTATTCACGAATTCAAATTTAGGAATTACGTTTGAAAGTAAGTATAATTGGCGCTTTGTAACAGATGAAGCGATCTTTCAGGCAAGCTCCTTCTCCCATCTGTGGTTTTGCATCTTGATGTTGTTCCAATAAACGGAGAAACGAACAGTTTATACTAAGACGTCTCCGAACGGCTGATGTTTTTTTTATGAGGACCCTTTATTTCAAGTCCGAAATACACTCGGAGGAGTGGACATTCCCTGCCGAGGGGCGACCGCAATTAGTAAATGTAATTTAATTTTTTAATTAAATTATTTTTCCATCACTTTTGGATGTTGTTTGAGGTAAGTATGAAATATTTCTTCCTTTAAATGTAAAAGTAAGCATACCAATGCATATTTTGATTAAATCATTTAGCGAATTAAATTAAAATATAATTTTTCTTTCTTGTTACAGATTCAAGGTATGAGCCACGCTTTTGTCATAAATATATTTTTTTTTGGGTTAATTCGCTGTCAACCAGGGGTCGATGCAGCAGCTTAAATAAAATGAACTTTGCGGCTATTATACTTTAAGTGTTTGATTTATAACTTTTTAATGGATTGGTGCTCATACTTTTTGTGGTCTTGAAAACACTTGATAAGTCTCTTACGTTAAAACTCAATATCGCTGATATGGTGAAATATTTTACTTCCAAAAGACTTTTTTTCGTTGATAAATTTTAGTAGTAAATTTTATTTTTTCGACAACGGAAGCCTAACAATAAGTAATAAAATTTTAAACTAAATTAAAACATAAAACCTATTAGTAGGAATGGGCTGCTGGCTTGACATTGCTCTTTAGAAGGCTGCTTTGTCTCTTCTTCGCAGGCGGGTCTGTTGCATGGGACAAGGTGTTAGCCAAAGGGTTCGGATGGTTACGCAGTTTTATTAAGGAGTTACATAGGTCTTGAAGGCCCAAAAAAAACTTATTTTCTCTAATTTTTTTAAAACATGCTATATAAAGTATACAATTTATTTTGTTTACATATAAAAGTACAATATGTGTACAACATTTGATGAAAATTTGAGTGAAAAATAGTAAAAGTCAAGGCGTTGGCAGTGTCATGAAGTAGACCGTCCACAAGAAAGTGCTTTCGCGGTAGTCATGATATCTTTTCAGTTTTTATCTGAAATGGAAAATCCAAATTTTTTCGTAAGGTAGGTGAATTTTCCTTAAAGAAAAATTAAAAAATTAAAATTTGAATTTTTTGTAGTTTTTTTACAAAAATCTTAATTATTTACGTAAAATTAGGTCACATATTGGGTTGTAAAATGAGTTGAAATCAAAGATAAAGAAAATCCTTCGCTCAGGGACTACAAAAACACGCTTAAAAGAAGTGTGGAATATTTGAACTCGATCGATTTCGATAAAGTGGTTCAAGTCAAGCCATGACAAAGACGGCGGATTGTAAAACTCACTAATCTCTACAGTTTCGTCTCGACTTTGTACTTTTATACAAAAAATGATCAAAAAAAAAAATTAATTTTTAGAAGTTTCAAGACCTATGTAACGACTTAAGTATTTTTGTACTGCAGTTTCAATCTCTCTGATGGTAGGTATATTTAGATCTCTATGGATATTTTCATTACGCATGTACCATGGTGACCTTTTTAAGCACTAAGTTTTTTCTTTTAGACGGGCTTGCAGTTTTTATTAAAACTATTTTTTAACGCTCCGGTTAGTCTTCACTCAATCTCTCAATCGCTCAATCGTTTGATTTAGAAAAAGGAGTCTTAAGAAAATCGCGTTGATATTCAAGTTAAAGTTTCATTGTTTTATCGATGATTCGATAAACCGATACATATACTATTGGCTGCATTCAATGTCTTACACAGGGTGACAAAAAAAAAAAAGTATTGAACCAAGAGAAAGAAGAAATGAGTGGGTATAAAAGCGATATACAAATTAATTCAACATGTACCCATGGTACAAATATTTTACCACATTTTATTACCTTTTTATCTAAATTTATTAATTTTTTTATTTAAAAATTTATTTAAAATTTTTGCCGGGTTTTCGATTGACTGCTGCGTATGCGGCTTGACACGTGTGTCTGCCTGAATCACTGCACGTAGATTTCGATCAAAATCTGCTACTCCAGTTTCTCGTACATACACGTGTAACTGCATTCGATATGAGAAACTTTACTGTTTTGTCTTTTCATTTCCATGTGCCGTTGTCACCCAGCAGGACATCAGTTTATTTGTATTTTGTCACTCTATATTCCCAACTTTTTACATATCTATTTACTGTTTATTACATTTATTATTTATTTTATTTGACATTCTTAATATTCCTGTTGCATTTCTTGGTAGACTGAAATTTCAAGAATTTATTTATTTACTTTAATGTAGTTTGCCATTTATGAAGCGTAGAAATTAAGTTTCTGAATCCAATCTTTGTGCTTTGATGTCGTTGCCTTTTCTTCTATTTCGTACCTGTTCAACAACTGAGTTGGCTTGGAATTATTTGCTTGTAGTTGTCGTATTTTGATCTAAAATTGAATGCATTTATTTACTTTAGGATTCAAATTTATTTTCACAGTTGGCATACAATTGCAACAAATACAATTGTGGGGTTGGGTACAGTTTGTCATGCTGAAATTCCAAGAAATACCCAAGGAAAGGTAAATTTTATTAACTGAAAGTCATCTGAAATGTTTATGTTACTTGTGTGAAAGTTGAAAAGGTTATGGGAAAAGGTCAAATGCGAAAGTTTTGAATTATGTGTTGTTACGGTGCAGGTAAATTAGGTATTCAATTAAAGGTTTAAAAATATAGTTGTTTCACTCAAATGTATTATTTGATGCATTTTTGTCATCCTTGTTTGTGCTTCTGGTATTGTCCGGCGTCAGTTCACAAAGCCTTACAAGTTTTGCAGGAATACCAAATTTAGACTGTGCTGTCGCAGGCAGTTTTGAGATCGTTGAAAAGGTAATATGTGTCAATCTCATGAGTATTTTCGAAGATTTAGCGATGGTGAATATTCGGCGGCTTTAGTTCTTCACAAAAAACCCTCCCCATCGTACTTTATACGCGATAGATATGTTGCTAATCCCATTGTGGCAGGTCGTGTGGTTCCTCCTTATATGGATCGGACTAAACAGACTTAAATTCCAACCATCGGGCATGTTTTCGTTCGACCATATTCCAGCCTCTTTGTTGTTCTTTAAGCGGGTAATCGCTATTCGAATCCTGTCATAGACTGGAGAAGTGTTCCCTTAATACACGAAGTATGCTCTGGACATCGGTCAATATATTTCTGGAAACCTTCTTCGACCTTATCTTTGTTGGCCAGCTTATGAAGTTCCAAATGATCACATATTTCGGCCACTTTCTTTTTCTCCCTGCAAATGCGCCTTGCTTCCCTTTTCAGATCTCGGTATCTATCCCAGCCCGCATATGTTGTGGTCGATCGTAAGGTTGCGATGTGTTCAGTCTATTTTCTCGTACCAGCTGTTTTCGTTTGCAGCTGAACGTAGGGTGTTTGAAATGCCGTCCCACAGTTCCCTGTTCCCTTCATGCCTAGCTGCTGATGAGTCCCCCATGTGCAAGCCGAGTAGAAAACCACTCAGCTGCTTGTTTTGATTGCAGCTTTTCGTCGTCGAACCTTGCTTGTGTTTTTGGCCGACGTTCTTTGAGACACAAAGGCGGCTTCCGCCCCCTCCGGTTAAAGTCGCAAATCAGCGATAGTGTGAAAAAAAAATCTTTTTGACGCGGATTAAGCTAGACGTTCATCTACCCGAGTTGCGCTCCTTCATATAGTCGCTGTAGTACATTTCACAAGAAGCCACCTTCTTCCGTCCTTGTCCCTTCCAACGCAGTTCTTGGATGATGGTAATGTCAGCCTTTGCCCATTTGGCTATTTTCATATTTCCAAAATAAAAGTCAAGTATCTAAAAAAAATTGACACTACACCCACAAACGTCCATTTAAACCTATAAATATTATAAGGCTTACCAAAATTTCCGTGCAATAAATCATTCGTAAGGTAACTGCAGGCATATGTGAAGTAGTCCGTAAGGAGCAATTCCATTAAACCTTTCAAATGGGAAAGGTAGAGAGTAAATAAACCGTTATTAAGCTGCAAAATGAATTGCTTGAGGCGAATATATTTATTTATTGGTTACTGAATTAGATTGTGCGAGGCATTCGATTCACCTTGAGGAATATTAGAGTGTCTGTGTGATTATTTTGAATTATGAGGTGTGGTAGAAAAATATTTTAGTAAATCATATAGAAAGGTATACATAACTCTTATTACTTACACTTCTATATTAGTTAGAAAAAAATATTTGGTAAGCTCAAGCATTTTGTAGTTATTCAAACATATCTCGTAGAGCCAGCTTCATTTTGTGCTGTCGAAGACAGCTTTCATACCAATGAAGAAGTCGCGTTAGTCAAGTTTATTTTCATGGTTCATCTTCTTCTTCTTTATTGGCGTTGACACCGCTTACGAGAGTATATCAATATTAGCGCGCTAATCCTCTCTTCTTTTCGCTTTTGGCACCAGTTGGAAATATCAAGTGAAGCCAAGTCACTCTCCAGCTGATCCTTTGAACGGAGTGGAGGTCTTCCTCTTCCTCTGCTTCCAACGGCGGGTACTACATCGAAAACTTTCAAAGCTGAAGTATTCACATCCATACGGATCACATGGACTCGCCACCGTAACCGCAGCCTGTTTATTCCCTGAACTATGCCAATATTATCGTATAGCTCGTACAGCTCATCTTTCCATTGTCTGCGGTATTCGTCATTGCCAATGCGCAGAGGACGATAAATCGTTCGGAAAACTTTTCTCTCAAAGACTCCCAGGGCCGACTCATCAGATATTGATATCGTGAGCACTTTTGCACAATCTAGTAGGACGGATATTATGCGCGACTTGTAGAGTGTGGTTTTGGGTCGCCTAGAGAGGACTTTACTTTTCAATAGCCTACTCAGTGCAAAGTAGTACCTCTGGGCAAAAGTGATTCTGCGTTGGATTTCAAGGTGTTGCTGCTAGTTCCAACTTAGATGAAATTATCTAAACTATCGAAGTTATGAATGTCAATTGACACTAAGAAGCTGAGTCGCGAAAGCGATAACTGTTTATTTCGTCTAGTCCTCGTTCACTACCAGACTCATTTGCTTCGCTTCTTTATCAAGTCTCATTGATCAACCTGGTTTAAAGTCTCACTGATAAGGATCAATCATCCCTCTAGTCGATAACACTTTATAAGTGATATTAAGAAGTTCTGTCGCACGATAATTCGCGCAGATTGTGGTATCCAAATCATGCTTAAATTTTAATCTTCGTCGACGCCATTTTTAAATAGCTCAGTCAGCAAGCCATCGGCTTTCACCGCTTTGTTGTTCTTCAAGTGAACAAACGGCATTCGAACTTCGTCATAGTCGGTGACGGAAACTCTATTTCATCGTAGTCGATTGTGTGTTCGGGCTCATCCTTACTGGTTTTAGCAAAACTTTAGACCGAATGACCTCAGTATGATCTAAACTTCGGCCACAGGGTCTCCTTTTTGTTTCCACAAGAGTATCTTGCTGCATTCGTTATATTCTTTTTTTGCCTTTAATTACATACCCTTGGCTCTTTTATTCCTTCAAAAACAATTCATCTTGCTGCATATGATATTGCAATGCCGTCCAATGGGTTCTTTATATCGAGTTGCTAACGAGTGCTCTGCGATGAAGGGAATACGCATCGAGTAGATAACCACAATTACCGGTTGTGATTGCAGATTTTCGACGTCGGGCATTCTTAGTAAATTTTGTTCGATTTGGTTACCAGTTTTCCGATTCGGAGTCAACCATATATTTAAATGCTTTCTTATACAGAGATCGTGCGCGTTGGTTATTACGAGGAACTCAATAAGTGAACCGGAAAGTGCCAAGAAACTCTCTCGCTGAGACTAGTTTGAATTTTCCTTCATGATTTTTTAGGTTAGTCATATCCAGATCTATATCCTTTGTCGTCCTTTTCGCACCTGTTATTTAGGCGCAAGTACCCACTACCTATAACTCAAGGAGATTTGGATATGATGTGAGTATACCAGACATCTGCCCCCTTATTATAGTGGGGGAAATTATTTGCCCCTCCTTCGCGATACGGGAAGTATCATCCAGCATGTCAAAAATTTAGTGCCGCTAAATGATTGCTTTTGTTCAACTTTACAATGCTAAATAAACCTTCGGTGATGGCCTTCCTGTTTCCTTACGCATACGTCATATCTTGAGGCTTAACATAGAGGTTGCTGCAGACCCCGAAATCTACAATAAGCTGGTGTCTATGCAGATTTACTGTAAATAATGGAGGCATTTGCATCGTCCAAATAAGCAGGCTTAAATATGGGTAGTCAATCAGTAGTACGTTTGGCCGTCGAACCTCGCTGCTGTTCTTCGGCCAGCTTTTCCGACTTTCTAGAACCATGGTTTTTAAATCTGCTTATCTGGTGTTTCTATTTAATATAACTTTGATATTTCAATGGAGTTTTCTACGAAACTATGCTCTTCCAATATGCTTTTTGAAGACAACTACTTGAAGATAGATCAAAATTTGACGGGTTATAAGAGTTCTATGTCGAATATACGTGTATGATAGAGCTGGATACTCACAGAGAAAAGGAAAAGCTGTAACAAAAGTTACACTAGATCCACCATAATTGCTGTCTGAGTAACGGTTGTTTTTTTTTTTTTTGTATGCTTAGGTAGTTATTCATAGAAACTCCAGTACTTCCGCTTTGGAAGTTTGTTAAAGCTGAATGACGAAAATGAATGTTGATTAAGTCAAGCCCACGTACCAAGGTGTCAAGGTGTCTGCCCACACCTTACATTACTTAAATAGATGTCGGATGACATGTGTAAACATCTACTAATCGTAATTCAAAAACACAAGTCATACAGCACTGCCTGACATGAGAACGACACATGTCAAGATCCTACGCAAAATGTTACCCATAACAAAACAATCTTCCTCATACTCACACCAATCTACCTCGAATCCACCATCTCGTACACAGTTTTTTTGTATTAACACGTAGCTTAACTTTAGTGATTTCATTCTGAAATACGTTAACTCAACATTTTTAAGATTGTTAAAAAAAATAATAAAATCCTAGATATTATAGCTGAGATTACGGAAATGCAGTCAAGGAATCAATTCGTTTTTTTTATTAATTGATGAATTAGTCAATTACTACGTAAACCTCTCTGATTAATTCAGTATAATTTTCAGTTTTGTTACATTACCAATCATCGGAATCAATAATCATAAAACCGTTTAGTCAAAATGAATTCAAATTTGTGATTAACTCAAGCAAAATTAATTGATTAATCTTTCAGCTGCATATAAAAAACCAAATGTAAGCCAATGTTTTTTGTTTTTTTTTTTTTTAATAAATATAAGCGAATTTTCCAAAATACCAGTTACGGCCTTTTCTACAATTGTCAACTATGCTTTTTACTTACTTACTGCTTACCATGTTTCTTTTATTCTTTGTTATTTGCTGATAGTATTTACTACTTTCTGCCACACTCTGCACATTTTCTTCACGATTCCATTCTGCAGTTTTCATTTATGATGTTGCTCCACTTTTACTATTATATTACAAAATATTATTTGCAGCTTAGAGTTTGTTGTTACTCTTGCTGTGCATATCTCGATTTTCTATTTTTATCGATTGCTGCTTTGTTATTGCCACGCATGTAGCATTGACAACATTTTCTCATGCCAAGTTTTTACAATTTCAATTTTGATCCCAGTATAATAAACGACTAAACACAAGAAATGAATTTCGTTAACAAAAAATGACAAATCAGACAACGCTCTAAACAGAGCAGACTAGATTGCAGGTACTGAAGTTTCAACGCCATAAAACTAAGTACATCTCAACTACAGTGCAGCCGCACAGGGCACATTCGAAGACTAAACTCTAAAAAGTGAACTGCACCACTTCCATCTTCAGTTTCGACGACACTTTCTCCATAAAAACTTCAGAGAGGAACGCATGAGAAAATTCAAAAGTTCTCTTAGATCATAGATCCGCGGCCTACTTCACCGACGGCTCTAAACAAAGCAAAGTAAAAGGCTTTCCGTGCAGTGCAACATCTTTCAAGTAAAGCTATACCCGATAAAGGAAGTCGCTTCATAGTTGCTCATTGCGCTGGGTATTATTTTGACATCTAAGGCTACCCTTAAAACTCTCCGTCTCAAAGACGGCCATAAAATGCAAATAGATTTTAAACATACTCTCGACTATATGGGAAACGTCCGTCACTGTTCATGGAACATACCAGAAAACTGCGTAGCGGACGAACTGCCCATGTCAGCAGCACTAAGTCTTTACTCCTTCTGAACCGGGTCTATATAAGCATAACATCCGGCGTAAAAACCGAACACTGTCTTGTGAGGTCTCATGTTGGCAGGATGGGCTGCTACTCTTACCTCTTTCCACAATTTCACTAACAGAAAATTATACTTGGGCAATGTAGACATATACAATTTTACAAAATACATATGTACGTCCAACAAAGTTTGGCACAAGTTTCATTTTGTTATTGAATTGACTTTTCACCTGTGTTGCCTATTTTCAGGTGTCAATAGTCGTATCGTACTTGTGCGTTCAGAAATATATTGTATTAGTTGTAATAACTATATTTTCGAGCTGTCAACATGCTGTGTCGCATTTACATATCAGAGGGTCGCATTTATATGAGAGAAAAGAAAGTGGGGAGTAAGAAATGTAGACGCGAATTAAAGTTGAAAGTGTCACCTCCAATTTATTCTATGCAAAGCTGTGTGGGTGAGAAAAAACATTACAACTTTCTGCTGATAAAAAATAATTTTGATTCGTCTATTTTTCCCACACACAACGGGAAATACTGTAAACCAACATTTCAAGTGTCTTAAGTGATTGGTTTTCCTACTCTTGAAATCCTACACAGTAGCATCTTTCCCAACAGGACAATTGAAAAGTATTGTTCTGATTCGTTGAAAAAATAAGTTGAAGATGCGCGAACAATGATGGGCTGGAATATTTAGGGTCTTTGCGCTTTAGGGAATTCTGTCAACGGTGGAACGAAGAGCTATACGAGTTATGATGCAGCATTGACATAGCTCAAATCAAAACGATCAAAAGAAAATCCCTTAGAAAACCATCCAGATTTGAAAATATTCAACACAGTAGCCGCTGGTGGAGGCAGAAGGAAGGAAAGACTACCACGGCGATTGGATTCCCGCGGTATTCTTAATTGGCGCTAAAGAATGGAAAGTAGTAACAAATGGCGCGCTATTGTTGAGTTGCCTACTACAATGCAGAAGAATTATAATTCGATCAGGTGACAGTCATACCTTACATAGAGCTGTTGGTTCTATGTTGTCTGAGAAAGAGGTTCATTTTAATACGTGGTAAAGTAGGAGCCAAGCTTCCATATGTGTGAAACCAGTTTGAAAGATAAACGTATCGAAGCAGAGGATGTCTTCCCATATCTCACTCGTACCTGTCTCCTACCTCACTACTCCCGATGCCCAATCTGCTCATGTGGTAATGATTTAAAAATCTCAGCTATGATAGGGCACATTTTTTATTTCCTCTGTGGGAGTTAAGTTCTTGAGATTTCTCCATAAATGGTTTCTTTCACTACCAGCAAGTCATATGCGTAGAGAAAATATAGTTTGTGGCTCGTGACTCTGCTTTTGGTTAAACTTTATTAGAGTTCAGTCTATGCCACTTCTTAATAATTAAGTATGTTAGGTTAGATAATACTAGCTGGCTGACTGTCATGACATACATGAACCTGCTGATCCTTCGTGATTCCGTAATTCGTAATCGAGGTTTAGTTTAGTTCGAGCTGCAGTGGTCATCGTTCCAGCGTCTCAATGATTTCTTGTATTTCTAGCATGTTTCGTTATTACTAATGCCCAGTATGTTGCGTTCTGTCACCAGGCTAACAGCTGTTCGGAAATCCTTTTGAGGGCGTGTTTTACTGTGGTACTTTTGCACATGCTATAGGCTATCTTACTTTTCATTAAGACATACTTTTTTAACCTCATCTATCTGTTAGCTCTTCCAGAAATTTAATCGTGTTTTGCTATTTTAACGTCTGGTTCGGTAGCTAGACAGATGACACATTTGGTAATCTCATAAGCTGTTCAGAGCCCAGTAAAAGGACATTTTATGAGGCTATACGATTCGAGGTTATTACCTTAATTGGCGCACGCTTATCCACTTATATAATACTGTTTTCTAATTTATTTTAGTTTATTCACTTTAGTATACTGTGTTGCTAGTTATCTCAGCAGTTTTTTGAACCGCCTGGAAGATACTGTATTATTCTGGAAGCTTGAAGGAGTTGCATGAAGTCTAGCTCCATGTAATAGATTCCAGCGATTAGCCCGTCATTCATTTTAGATTCTGAGTAGATCTTGCAAGTTCCACTGGTGGTAATGTGACTTGAAATCTACTCTCCAGACTTAGGTATACATTGTTCCCCATGTCAGAAGGATATTCGCCCAACACAACCAAATTATTATCTTACTTCGCTGCAAAGCTTTCCACCAATAATTAGACCAAAGACAGATTTTTTTCATATTCGTGGGAGAGGATTGGCGAATGATGATGATGATTCAAGGCGCTGTGAAAAAGTTTCGACGAATAAAGATTCAATGCCTAAATTGACGAAGTCAAGTTTTACGTATAGACCCAAATATTTCGAAAGGGTACTCGGCTCGTCGATTAGCCTAAGCAAATTAAGAAGAATAATAATCCAGTTTATGGTTTCAAATTCATCTGTTGATAGCAGTGCTGCTAGATTGCCTTTATAGTGTTAAAGAGTAAAGGATCATGGGCTTTAGTTCTTAACAAACGAAGATCCAGAAAATAGAAAAATTATTGCTCACTGTGATCGCCTCTCGGTAAGCAAAGTCAACCTTCCGAGTGTCTTCCTTACGTGAAGAAGCTGATAAAAAAAAAAAAAAAAATCCATTAGCTGCTTGAAGCCGCTATAGAATAAGCTGTAGCCCCCTATACTTGTTGGAAATTATCAATACCTTCATCACAGTTATAGTTATGGATAAAATAATTGATTATTCATCCTTTATGTTGCATTCTCAAACTCTCCTGTCCATTGTCTCCATCGTCTGTAGTGGCCTTAAATTTCAGAGTACAATTTTCACATCGGATCGGTAACAGAACGTATAAGTAAAAGCAAAACAAAAAAAAAAATTCAAAATTTTAAGCAGAGAAATCTTATTTTTCTTTCTTCCTTATTCTTTAAAACCTCAACACTATTCTTGGTACAACACGGCGTATACTTAACCACTTGCCCCTCTACAAAGATATCAAGCGTTATGTAAAAACCTTGTTTTCCAACTTTTTTCTTCAAAAGTTCATTGAACACACCCTTAGTGCTTGTTTATGCAAATCGTCTATATTGTAAGTGTCGCAAATCAACTATAAAATGTCCTTACTTTAGCAGCCGCCACCTGCCATACCTGCGAACCTATGTTTACCTGAAATATATTCATAAATATTTTCCAATGTGCTTTCAATCCTCCTGTTTTGTTATTATGCTGATTTGGTTAGCTGTTTAGTGTTTTCTAAACGTTAGTACAAACATATATATATGTATATAAATATATATACACGTATATACATTCGTATTTTCACATAGGTTTGGGTTAAGTCAAATTTGAGAAAATTGAAGATTATTTATGAATGTGTCATAGTGTGTGTGGCAGTTGGAAAGGCAACTGAAAAAAAAACATTGACAGGAGAGAAAAAAAATAAATTATAATGTTATGTACATATGTATATGCTTGCATATGGCTACATGTGGGGTCCTAAATGAAGCCGTTGGCACCTTGTGGTAGTAAGGAAAAATGGAATTCAGTAAGGCGTTTTTGGCACAAACATACATACGAGTACGTATATATGCATGTATTTGTACCGTGTGTCTTCCCTTGTACATACATACATACAAATTTATTGCTTTTCCTAATCAAAAGTTCAGCTGTTAGCTGGTTGTTATATTTTCAATTTGAAATTCTTTTTCCTGTTGATTATTTATAAGTCAACATTTCGTATATTTGTGCATATGTTTTAAGATAAGCCTTGTGCAGTGAGATGGTGGATTGTGTTTTGGACGATGCTGGTTACTGCTCAGCTGGTTGAACTACTCAAAAATATTAAATCTAATCATTGTCTTCTAAGACGGACGGGAAGGACGGAGAAGTAGCAGAAGCAGAACAGCAGTACCAAAAACCGCTTCTGCTTTTGGCCAGCGTAGATCATGTGCCACAGACATAAGGAGAGTTAACGACTAAATGTGGCCATTCCACGAGTTTTTCTCAAAGAGTGTACTTGCATAAGACAGCTGTAGGATGGCGATGATGTCAAAGTGTAAGCACCAGACCTTTTGCCGAACACAATCGGAGAAACGCAATTTATAAAATATCAAATCTAGCATTAGACCTGACAGATACTTAACTAAAGGGCTTTCTATTATATTAATAGTAACGATAATTTAATAAACGTATCGAGTTACCATTTACGATGAAGAAGAAAGTGCTCAGTTTAAGGAAGCAACGCAAAAAAGACCTTTTTTCATATTTCGATAGACTACACCTTTGAAAATAACTATAAATTAAAATTTCAGATTGATATCTCAAATAGTTTTTGAGTTATTAGCAATTTAAAGAGCAGCCACTCGGCAGCTAGAGAGTCTTATTAGCTACGAGTGAAAACGATCATTTTATCTTTAAAAGCGTTTTTTTGCTCCAGTGATTACTCAACAACAAATCATCCGAAGTCGTT